AAATTACATCTGATGTAATTTAACACACAAAAAAAGAAAGGAAAAAAGATGAGAACTCCATAGGCCAGAGAACGATACTTAAGCAAACATGCTTCCAAATGTTCCTTAATCATTTCCCACTGCAAACAAACAGCTGAAGGAAATTGGTCCTGTATGGAACAACCTGATCAAGGCTTTGCCACGACACTTCTTGTGTGCAGGACTTCTTGTTCCACCCTGAGACCCACACATCTGGTGCACAAATACAACTTAGGGAAAACCAGGGACTTATTCCTCGCTTAAAGAAAAGCAACAAAAAGGTGCAAGGCTGAGCCTGGATAACCTTTGAAGTCCTAAAGTACCAGGAGCTCCAAAGGAGCGTGTCAGCCGTATCTCATTGAGGAAAACCCACAACAAAGACAAAGGGAAAGACCTCTGCCAAGTTTCAGACACGAGCAGACAGCAGCTTGTACTCCTTGGCTGTGGATTACGTGGTTGTGGCCAACATCTATCTATTTGCCACGCTCCAGACAGGGAGACACTGCAGCAGGCCAACGCTACTGCTCTGCACCCAAACAGCATGAGTACGTGCGTGTGTACGTACAGGGTGATGCCTGTCCTCAAGAGGACGCTGCAGAATCCACACAGGTGTATTGAGGGATCCCCCTCAGGAATAACTGCTCAGAGGGCAGTACAGATGCTGGTTAAACCCTGAAGCAAACACCACTGATGAACAGTGTAGCTATATACAGCAAAGGAACAGGAACTGTTATGTTCGCCAGCCTGTGTATGAATATCATGTCAACCTCACATTTTCTCACCAATTCTTCTACAGATATCCATCAGGGTGTATTAACATACATAACAGGCTAAGTGGCTGTTCCTAGAACATTTCCAAGTTTAATAACCTCATCTCTCTCCTGCCCATGCTCAACACGCAAATCCAGGATGAAAGAACCCCCCTCATCACAGCACCACAGACAATTTCACTGTTCTCCGCCACTTCACCCACAATTCCAACCTTTTTTTGTCATCACCTCTTCTACCACCTCCTGGCAATTTCATTTCATGTCAAATCAAATTTGTCTGGACATAGGGAATGACTAGGACTTAGGAAACCCATCTCATTTAATGACGCAGCTGAGCAGGTTCCACACAAGCCAACCACCCACAAAACCGGGTGCTTTTGGCTCCAGTGAGATCCAGCTCGGGACAGCAGGGATGTCACTTAGCACAGCAAATGGAAGGGTAGCTATTACCAAGGAGATGTCGAATCAGATACGGACTAAAGGTGCCTCTCCCACCCTGAGTGCCAGAGAGGCCTTCATTTGAAATAAAACAGGACAGGAAGGTGGCAGAGACAGAGCGGGTGGAATCACAGAGCTCAGACCAGCACTGCTGCCTGGTCTGGGTCACACAGAGAGAGCCCCACTCCAGCAACATCACTTGTGTGTCACACAGAAGGGTTTAAAGATTCCATCGGATAAGCATTGGGCCAGCTCAGCTGTATCATGCTATGGGCCTTCCCTCAGAGCAGCACAGCAGCATCCCTGCTCCTGCAACACTGCAGCAGAGGAGCAAGTACTAAATTGCACTAGAGCACCAAAACCACAGGGAGCCCATGCCTAATCCTGCCCGCTTACCTGTGCACAAGCAAACAGGTTCCTACAGGTGATATATATGTACAGCTTTAGCCAGAGACACACTCCAGCCACTAGACACTGACCAAGATGGACCAAAGACAACAGCAATGCTGTGACAGCACCAGAGCAGGCAGTGAGGGCAGGAAGGGTGCCCCCACATTGAACACAGCCTCTCCCACTCAACATCAACACCAGAGCAGCTCAGGGCTGAGCAACTACGCAACCGCTGCTTTCACCCAGCAGTGTCTGCATTTTGTCTGGCTCAAAGGCCCAGTGGCAGTTGTCCAGAGTCCACAGGCTCCTTTTAACTGGGATGACCCCGAGTGGACAACTCTCTTTGCTGTTAATACCAAGACTGCAGACATCAGGTCAGCAGGACCAGGGTAGACATCAGCCACAGGCACTGTGGGCTGCCTCCCTGGTTAGGCCAGGCAGCGCCTTCAGAACAAGGGTTGCTTTGTAATGAACTGGAAACCAGACCTGTAAAGCCATGGCCATGCATCCAGATAGCTGCTGGCTGCTCAGGACTGCAAACCATGGCAGTGCTGGAGGCAGGAGCACTTAATTCAGCAAAACTTAATTCATTAGGTTTAGAAACGGAGGTACACTGCGAGCACCTGCAGAATATCAGTGTTATGGAAAAACCTCCTGCTCCATGCCACATAGCGTGGTCCTCTGGCAAGGCAGGGACATTATCATGTGCAGGATGGCATCAAGAACAGCTGTTACAACCAAGAATAACCAAGGAGCATCCTCACAGCAAGATACATTGATTATTCTTCAGCAATCAACCTCAGGACATCAATGTTGATGCCCAAAACAGAAGAACCAAGTGCTAATCTAGGCTTTACTACAGCACGGGTGCTGAAGAGAAGCAAGTTCTTGGCTTCTCCCCATTCTTTTTGTGAGAAATAACATCAAGGCCCTGATCCAAGCTAACACTGGTTTTGTGAGGGGTATTTTTGGGTGGGAGATGGTTTGGGCAGGGACTGTTTTAACCTCTGCCATGTCACGATTCAACTCACAGTCCACTTAAGGTCACACAGGTCCATTGCCAAAGCCACCACTGAACAGTTTTGCTTAGTTCTTAGTCTACCTTTGAAAAGTTAAGACTAAAAAAGTTACCCCTCTACTCTGCTCTCGTGAGACCTCACCTCGAGTATTGTGAGCAGTTCTGGTGTCCTCAGCATAAAAAGGACATGGAGCTGTTGGAACAAGCCCAGAGGAGGCCACGAGGATGATCAGGGGCCTGGAGCACCTCCCATATGAAGACAAGCTGAGGAAGTCGGGGCTGTTCAGCCTGGAGAAGAGAAGGCTGCATGGAGACCTCAGAGCAGCCTTCCAGTATCTGAAGGGGGCCTATAGGGATGCTGGGGAGGGACTCTTCATTAGGGACTGTAGTGACAGGACAAGGGGTAACGGGTTCAAACTTAAACAGGGGAAGTTTAGATTGGATATAAGGAGGAAATTCTTTCCTGTTAGGGTGGTGAGGCACTGGAATGGGTTGCCCAGGGAGGTTGTGAATGCTCCATCCCTGGCAGTGTTCAAGGCCAGGCTGGATGAAGTTTTGGGTGAGATGGTTTAGTGCGAGGTGTCCCTGCCCATGGCAGGGGGGTTGGAACTGGCTGATCTTAAGGCCCTTTCCAACCCTAACTGTTCTGTGATTCTATGATTCTAAGTTCAGCTGGAGAGGATTCAGAAAGCTCCATGAGAATAAGAGGCTGGAAACTTGACTCAGTTCAAACACTGGCCTAAGGAAGGCAAATCTATTTATTTGGCCTATTAAATGCCCATGACATTGATTTTAGCTTGGCCTAAGTACATCCACAGCAGTAAAAGACTATGACAAGAGGGAGTGTAGGGGTGAAATGATGACTAGAGAGCAAGAGGCTGCAACAGGGAAAGCCCAAGCAGTGCAGCTCTGGAACTTCCCACACCTACTTTTGTTAGTTTTTAATGCTCCCCATTGGTCCCGCTGCCTCAATGCTACTGGGTGGCAGCACATCCTCTGCCACAGTTTAATAACACGGTGTGTGAAAAAGCACTTCCTCCTGTTTATTTTAGCCCTGCTGCATCAGAATTTCCTGTAAGAAACTGAAAACTCATCTTTCCTCCTCACTGCACGGGACTTCACACACCTGATTTGTATCCCACGTCAGCAAGTTCTCCCCTAAGGTAAGGAAGGGAAAGCTTCCCTTGCCCCAAACCTGCTCATCCACGCTGCTCCTGCCCCTTTTCCACTGCTCCTCTTTCAAGATGGGCAAACCAGAACCACCAGCAAGAGCCAGGGCACAAACTGCCAAGGCTTTATACAGCAACATAATGTCTTCTGTTCTGCTTTTGCTCCTTTAAAGCAATTCCAACATCTCCTCATTAGGCTACAGAGGGGTGATGGATGCATTAAAACAAAGTGCTGAGACACCATCAGCTCTTTCCTGCATAGTAAAAGCTGATGCAGAGTCAGTCTCTGCAGTGCTTGTGACCTTCCTTACACATGTAGTATGTCATTTACCACACCTCAACCACTCCACATTACCTGTCCTCTGCAGGTAATCACAACCTAAATAATTTAGGACTAACTTTTCCTTCTCCACAGCACCATACTCAGGAAAATAAAGCAGGGAGATGCCGGCGGAACTCCACAACAACCTCACCCCGTTGTGGCACCACTCCTTCATCCCTACCTTTTTGTTTTTTGCCACCTTTTGGCCATTGAGCCCCAAAAGGGTCTTCCCAAGCTGCTGCCCCATGGATTTTCATGGGAGACCCTATCACAAATTGCTAAACCGAACGGAACGCTCCGGGAATCACACCTGAGGAGCGGGGCGATGCGAACCCAGCTGTAACAGAGCTCACACCTTGTTCAGTCCTCCGGGGATCACAACCACGCTCCCCGTGCCCACCCCTCACCCCTACCAGCGCTCCCCACCGTGTCACCGCTACCCCACGGCCCCTCCGGCGGGCGGGAGCTGCGGTCCCGGTCAGCAGCTTCCTCACCCGGGCCGCCTGCCCCCGCTTCACCTCCCCGAAGCCCCATCTCCATCACGGGTACTCCAAGAGCCGCCGGGAGCACAGCGCCCGCCGTAGGCCCCCCATAGGCCTGCACCGGAGCCGCCCCAGCGCGGCGCAGGAGGCCTCGGAGCCGCCCCAGGCCCGGCGCGGCCGCGCTGTTCCCCTGGCAACGGCTCCCCACGGGCCCTCCGCGGGGTGACCCGAACCCCAGCGCCGCCGCCAGCACCCGCCCTGCCCGGGGCGGCGCCGGTCCCGCCCGGTGCGGCCTTACCCGAGCGCTGAGGGGAAAATGGAGGCCTCGGCGGCTGCGGCGGCGACGACAGCGAGCGAGGGGAGGCGGAGCAGGCGAGCGGCGACCTCCGGGCGGGCGTGAGCGGCGCTCACTTCCTCTTCCGGCGGAGGGATGGGGGGGGCCGCGGCGGGGAGGCCGCGGGTGCTCGCCCGGGTGCTTGTGCTGGCGCTGGGCGTTGCTGTGCGCACCGGGACCGGAACCGGAACCGGAACCGGGGTCGTCACCTGCGGCTCCGTGGTGAAGCTGCTCAACGTGCGGCACAACGTCCGCCTGCACTCGCATGATGTGCGCTACGGATCCGGTAACCGGACACTCCTCCCTTTCCCCCCTTCCGCCCCGTTCCGAGCCGGCCCTGACCGCGGTTCTTCGGCCCGGCCGCAGGCAGCGGGCAGCAGTCGGTGACCGGGGTGTCGGCGGCGGACGATGGGAACAGTTACTGGCGGGTGCGGGCCCGCACGGCGGGGGTCTGCGAGCGCGGCGCGCCGGTGCGGTGCGGACAGAGCATCCGGCTCACGCACCTGGGCACCGGCCGCAACCTCCACAGCCACCACTTCGCATCCCCGCTGTCCGGGAACCAGGTACCAGGGAGAGCGGCCGCACCGGGGGGCACCGTGTCCAACGGGAGCAGGTCCTTTCCCTGCGCACTGCCGGGTCCCCTTTGTCCCCACCAGATCCGCCTTGCTCTCCAGTACACGCTGGGTTCTCCATGTCCCTGCCAAGTCCCCCTCGTCCTTACAGCCCCATCTCATTCCCCAGTCCCCACCAGGTTCTCCATGTCTCTGTCAGGTCCTGTCTGTCCTACTTGTCCCCACCAGCTCCATCTTGCTTCCAAACCAGGTTCCCCATGTCCCTGCCAGCACTTCCTTGTTCCCTGGTCCTGACTGTGCTCCCTTTGTCCCTACCAGTCCCACCTTGCTCCCCACTCCTGACTCCATCCCCCTTGCCCCCCACATCCCCACCAGTGCTCCCTTATTCCCTGGTCCCAGCTGGATCCTTCCCAGTTCCACCTTGTTCTCAGGTCCTTGAGATGGGCTCCTGTTCCGTCCCCAACACCCCAGTCCCAACCACACCCTCCATGTCCCAACAAGGTCCCCTCAGCCCCCTCCTCACTCTGTGGGTGACCTCAGCACCCCCGAGTCCCCCCTTGCCTCATCCCACCCCCAAAATAAGCTCTTTTGGACCACAGGAGGTGAGCGCGTTCGGGGAGGACGGTGAGGGTGATTACCTGGACGACTGGACAGTGGTGTGCACTGGGACCTACTGGTCACGGGACAGCGAGGTTCGCTTCCAGCACACCTCCACCGACGTCTTCCTCTCGGTGACGGGGGAGCAGTACGGGCGCCCCATCCACGGGCAGAAGGAGGTGCACGGCATGGCTGCCTCCAGCCAGAATAACTACTGGAAGGTGATGGAGGGCATCTTCATGCAGCCCAGTGATGTCTTCAAAGCGGAGCAGTACCACGCTGAGTTGTGATGGACACAGACTGCCTTCTGGGTGCTGCCCTGAGGTGGTTTGGGCCGCTCAGACAAGGGGATGGCCCCTGTTCTCATTGGGGTTTGGTGCCTTCCAGGACACAGGGCCCCAATTTTAACACGAAGCACATCCCAGACACAAAGCAGATCCCAGTGTCCTGAATTCAATGTGGAGCAGATCCTGGTGTCCCAAATCTGACACGAAGCAGGTCCAACATCCAGATCTGACCCAAAGCAGAGCCCAAGATCCAACACGAAGCAGGTCCTCACATCCTAAATTCAGCCCAGAGCAGATCCTATCTCTAGTCCTGACCCACAGTTGACTCCAGCATCCAAGACCCAGCACAAACAGGTCTCCATGTCCCAAATCCAGCATAAAGCAGATCCCACCATCCAGACCTGACCTCAAGCAGATCCCCACGCCCCAAATCCAACACAAACCAAATCCCAACATCCAGCCCTGACCCAAAGCTGAGCCCAGCATCCAACCCCCGTCACGAACCAGCTCCGCACATCTCACGTCCAGCACAAACCAGCTCCCTACGTCCCGAATGCAGTAAGAAGCAGATCCCAACATCCAGACCCAACCCTGAGCAGGATCAGACTCCCCAGTGCCCCCCTCATAGCTCCCACCGAACAAGCACCACCCGGTGCCCCGTTCCCCCCCGCTCTGTACCCCAAACCCCGTTACCCTGCGGCCATAAAAGACCCGAATCCGCGCACTTTGTGCCTGTTTATACGGTGAGCGCCGGACCCAGCGGGGCGCGATCCCCCCGCCAGCCCAGGCGGGGGCGCTGTTCCTGCCGGGAAGTGCCGTCGGGCTCCGCCCCTTCCAACCGTCACTCCCGGTGCGCGGCCCCACGGGCGGTGGGGCCGGGCCGGGGCCGCAGTGGGGCCGGATCCCGGGCTCCGGGTCCAGTCTATGCCGCTGCCCGCAGCGCTGCTCGGGCTCCTCATCGCCGCGCTGCTCGCCGGGCTGCTGGCGCGGTCAGGGCAGGGGGACCCGCGGGGTTGGGGGGCCCCGAGGGGTTATGGGGGGGTTGCAGCTGATATAGGGGTGTAAAGGGGTGCGTAAGGGTCGGGGAGGGGGGTGACAGGGGTATAGGGGGGGATCTGCTTGGGGGGGGGTGCATAGGGGTGGCAGTGGGATTTTGGGGGGGGTTGGGGTCCGCGGGGGCTTGTAGGGGTGATGGAGGTCATAAAAACCAAGGTGGGAGTGGGGTATCGGGGGGGGGGGGGTCTGCTTGTGGGGGGGGAGATTGTAAAGGCCCATGGGGATGGCGCTGGGGTGTGGGGTTTTGGAGTGACAGGGGTGGAGGGGGCCCATGGGGCTGAGGGTGAAGTGTTGGGGGTATGGGGAAGGGGAGTAACGAGGGGTTAAGGGTGATAAAGAGGGGTGTCAGGAGTCGGGGGTGGCTTGCAAGGGTTTGAGGGGTCCTAGGGCTGGGTGGGAGGGTGTTAGGGGCTTGCAGTAGTGCAGGGTAGCCCAGAAGCATGGTTATGGGGTGTGAAATGGGCCCCTCAATCCAAGGGGAGGGATGTTAGGGCTTGTGCGGGGTGACCCTGCAGGGTCTCTGCTCCAGCTTGGAGCCGTCATGGAGGCAGGACCTGCTTGGTGGGTGCTGGAGTGGAGCTTGAAGGACAAAGGGGGTCCCCGTCCTCAGTGGGAGCTGACCCTGGGCCCCCCCCATCCCCACAGATGGCTGGCCTGTCGCCTGGCTGTGACCTGGTGCCGGCAGAAGCTTCATGCAGAGCTCAAGATCGGCTCCTTCGGCTTCTTTTGGGCCCGGAACATCAGCCTCAAGTTCCAGCGGGAGCAGCAGACGGTGGTGGGTACCCGGCAAGGGGGGGTGAGGGCAGGCAGGGTGGATGGGGTCACTTCCAGGCTGGCAGCGAATCCCTGCGCCATAGTTGGTGCCAGGCCCTTCTTTCCATAGCCAAACTTGGGGTTTGGCTGCTCCCTGGGTGATGCCAGGGGTTGGGAGCAGAGTGGGAACAGCAGGATGAGCATCACAAGGCACAGCCGGGTTGTTTCTTCTCTGACCCACCTGTGCATCCTTGCAGGAGATTGACCACATCTGGATCTCCAGTAAACTGAGCCGGGAGCTGCCGTATGTATCCCTGCCCCAGCTCCCTCCTTCCTCTCTTGAGGGTCTGTCTCATGTCCTGCTGCCATTACCCCTCCTTGCAGTCCCTGTGGTCTGCTCAGTGTGTGAGTGAATCCCCTTCTTTGAGGTGGCAATGTCTTGTGGGTGCCCTTGTGCTGCTCCTGCATGTCCCCAGGGTGGGAGCACCCCCAGATGTGGGGCTGGGTGTGCAAACTCCAGTGCTGTTCTTCCATAGGCGCTACTTTGAGCTATGTTTTGGCGAGGTGCGAATCCGCACGGATCTCCAGAAGGGCTCTGGGTTCCAGCCACACATCCCAGAGGCTCCCAGAGAAGCTGAAGGAAGCGAAAGCAGAGCAAACGTGACACTTAAACCCTCCCTGCTGAGGCTCCTAAGCCAGGTGAGGCACTGGCTCTGTGTGATGGGCTGCGTTGCTGTCGTACACCCCTCATGGTAGCATCTTCCCCCGCCAGCTCTTTTCCATCCACATGGACTCCATCAACATCATGGTTCTGCACTTGGCCACCTCAGAGTCTCTCTGGCACATCCAGGCCAGCAAGACACGTCTCCTCCTGACTGGTGATGGGAAGAGGTAATGCTGTCCTCGCACCCTGCTCTGCATCCCCAGCCTGCCCCTGGTGCCCTCCAATCCCAGTGTGGCGTCTCACCTCTTCCTGTCCCACTCAGCAGCATCCCATGTCACCTGTGCTGTGACACATTAACCCCCCCCCCCGCCCAAAGCTGGCTGGGTCCCTTTTCCCTTCCTGGGAAGCTCAGGTTGTGTGTTCTCCAAGTTCTGAGTTGCTGCAGTGTGCATGGAGTTAAGCTCTGCTTTTGGGAGGACTTGAAGCAGGGACTTGGCTTCCCCGTGTCACACAGGGAAAACAAGGACAGAGGGTTTAGAATGAGGGGTAATGGGTTTAAACTTAAACAGGGGGAGTTCAGGTTAGATACGAGGAAGAAGCTCTTTACTGTGAGGGTGGTGAGAGCCTTGGGTAGCATGGTTTAGTGTGGGGCATGCCTGCCCATGGCAGGGGGGTTGGAACTGGATGATCTTAAAGTCCTTTCCAACCATAATCATTCTATGAAAGAGAAGGCAGGGGGTTGGTTTGGAAGCAGCATGTTCCACATCTCCATCTGTTCTCTGCTCTCCCCAGCCTGACCTGCGAGGTGAGCCTGATGAAGATGAACAGCAAAGTCCTGTGCAGCAGCCAGCTGGTGAGTGCTGGGGAAGGAAGAAACCCAACCCTTACAACCTGAGCTCTGGGGGACACTCAGGACCTGCTCCAGTGTATCCCTGAGGCTGGGTGATGCTGCAAGGCTCTGGGGTCCGTGCTGTGTCCAGCACTTCACCTTCAGCATCCACCAGCTGGGAGCTGGGTGACTCCTTTGCCATGGTTTAGTGATGGGTTTGGCAACAGGTAACTGTTGGACTCAGTGATCTTAAAGGCCTTTTCCAGGCTATTGACTGTGATTCCTTGTTTGTATCCTGTTACAGGATGACACCTGCCTGGTCGAGCTGACCCTGGCGCTCTCCCTCTCACTGGAGATAAGCAGCAAGCGGCGGCTGGTGGGGGTCCGGCTGCATGTCCGGACCCTGCAGGCAGAGCTGCACGAAGGGCTCTTCTGCAGCCCGCTGCTGCACCGCATCACTGCCAGCCCCCAGCACAGCACTGCAGGGGAACAGCCCGGCACAGGTCAGGGATGGGCACAGGGACGTGGGCAGGGGATGGCAACACCCGTACTTGCACTGGAGCCACAGGGATTTGGCTGTGCCGTCGTGTGGGGATTTGGGCACGAGCCTCCCTGTGACTCCATGTGTCCCTCTCCAGGCCCAGAGGAGCCCCTGAAGTCCCTGTCTCTGCTGAGCAGGGGCACGCTGCAGCTCATCCCCAGGAGGGCGGAGGTGAAGCTGGAGAACACCAGCACGGTGCTGTCAATGAACAGCCAGAAGAGGTGAGGAGGCAGGGAGAAGCTGTGCTGGTGCTGGGGACATGGATTTGGAGACAACTGCTCATCCCCTGCTCTGCTAGACCACAGATACCCAGTCTTAGAGCCAGTAGAAGGGACTGAGCTTGGCCTGGGGCTGGGCTCTTGGGGAAGGAGGAAGGCACGTGAGCTGGTTCTCCAGTAGGACAGTGTGATGGGATCCTCTGCTGATGGGATGAGAGCGCTGGGCTTGGCTGCAGCTGGGTGCTGGCTGATGTCTTTGTGCCAGTCAGCTGGGGATGAGAGCTGGGGAGATGGAAGATGTGACAGTGCAGTTCCCTTCTGGCAGTGGCTCCCTGCTTCTTACAGGCACCTCACCTGGAGCTTGAAGCTGCTGCAGTTCCTATATCAGCGTGAAGAGGAGCAGATTCCCCTGCGCAACTTCACACCCACCTCAGACCTGGACCAAATGAGTGTAGACCTCCAGGTGGAGGGCAAGTAGCTAAGAAGGATGCTTTTAGGACACTGCTGCCATCACTGCCCTTTTCCACCCCTCACTTCTGTTCCTCTTTGTCCCCAGGTGGCCTTCTCCTGTCCCAGAGCCGCCAGCGCATCGTGTACCTCAACTCCCTGAAGACCAGCGTGCAGGTGAGTGGTGGCTGAGCACGTCCTTTGGGGTGGCTGGTCCAGCTCCTGGCATGAGTGGTTTTGCCACCTGGCCCCTTCCCTGCTCTAGGTCACAGCCATTGACCTCTCGGCTGCTGTGCTGCTCAACACCTGCATCATCCACTACCGCCACCAAGAGTTTTCCCTCTGGCTGGGCCTGTTGGCACAGGAATACTGGTGCCAGGCAGTGCCTGTCCCCAGCCAAGGGCACAAGGGAAGGTAAACTTGGCCTCTGCGCAGCTGCTGCTGTCGCAGCTTGTTTCCTCTTGCCTTGCCATGCTCTGGCAGGGGGCCCAGGCACCCAGCGTCTTCTCTGCCCTCTGCACGGCCTGTGGGATGGGGAGAGTGGTACAGAGAGTGGCAGATGGTTGGGGGGGGTACCTGTGAGCCTGCTCCCTGCCAGGCAGCACCCCAATAACAGCCCATACCTGCTTGTCCCACGCAGGA